AGTGTAGGATTTGTTCTTCAACTGAGCGACGGAAGAAGACGGGGTCGATAACGCCAGCATTCGCGCGTAAGCTTCACGAGTAACGTCGCGCGTAAGCGCCCTCTTCTCCACGCGGTGTGTCATACTGGCGGCCCGCGTAAGCCGCAGCGTGGTGTCGCCATGCCTTCTTACATAAAGCCCGCTCGCGTTCGTCGCTAAACTCCACGCTGTTTTGTTCATGTGCCTTACCGGGCAGCCTTCACGCTCGTCCCGTATGCCATCGCCCCACTCGTGTTGTTCATTGGGCTCGCGATCAACCACGGCACTTCTGGCAACGTCGACAACAGGCACCTCCCTGCAGTTATCATCGGATGATGCCACCCGTAGCAGATTGGACCAACTCTTAGATGACTCTAAGAGCAGGGGATCCCCCGCTGAGGGCTCTCGATTATGGCGTCAGCTGCGATCATCTTGACAGCACGGATCTTCGTCTCCATCAATGCCAGCTTCATGCAATGTTGGTTGTGGGCGCTTATGGGAGCGCTCTTGTCGACCTTCGGTATTATCCACCAACCTCGTGCGGATCCAACCTTCGAGCACTTCACAGGCAAGAGGGGTGCTACCAGCGTCTCGCAGGCATCGTTGATGATTGGCTATCTCAGCCTGGCAGTTGTGTTCGTGTTGCTGGGCATGTCGCAGCGCCTCTGCTCTTCGCGTGCGCCAGCCAAAAGAATATGCTGGTTGGCGCTTCGGGCATGCCACGTTCCGGCCGAGGCCGAGGCGATTGCCATCGCCGCTCGCCTCGGCCACCCGGTCGCCATCCGCCACTCCTCACGCTCTGCTGGCTATCCTCGGCTGCCCGGGCCCGTGGCGAGCGGATCCCCGCGGGCATCATCCCGCCGCCGCGCCTGGAGGTACACTGTGCCCCCGTCGGAGGCTCACTGGCCCGGCGGCCGCGCCTCTGGCCCGCCGAGGCCAGCGACGCCCCTGGAGGCGAGGCGCCGCTGCCGCGCGCAAGGCCAGGACCGCGAGGGCGCGTTGGGCCCGCAGGTCGAGGGCGGAGGAGGCGCCCCAACCCGAACCCGCGGCGCTGACTGCACAGCATTGGGCGCTCGCGACGGAGCCCTGCCATGCAGTGTGAGCTCGACCACAAGAAGGACCGTCCACAGGAAGCCCAGCCCGGAGACCCCCACCCTCGGCGTTGTCCAGGCCTCCTAGGTCCCAGACGGGGTCGGAGCAGATGGGGTCGGAATGCCGCGCCGCAACGCCGATGCCTCGACGATGCGGCTCGATGTGGAGCCCGATTGGTTTCGCGCTGGCATCGCCTATGCATCGCCGATGTCGTCGATGCATCCCCGATGCATCGCCGATGCATCTCCGATGTATCGTCGATACGGCGCGATCCTCCAACCCCATCTACTCCGATTCCATCTGGGAGGCCTCCACGTTGACTGCACAGCATTCGGCGCTTGCGACGCAGCCCTGCCATGCCGTGGGAGCTCAATCACAAAAGAAACCTCTTCCGCAGGAGACCCGGCCCGGAGACCCCGGGGCGTCCATGGATCGCTGGCCTGGGAGCGTCGCGCCCTCCACCGCACCACCATCGAGATCCCCAGGGAACCCGGGGCACCCCGGAGGCAAGGCAGGGCTTTCTTGGGAGCCACGGGTCTCCACGGTTTTTCGATCCCTTCCCGCGGCGCGCGTTTGCGGAAGGCTTCGCCCGTCGGGGTGCGTGCTCTGCAAGAGGGAAAAAAGACACCGACAGAATCCACCGGCGACTCCCAGGAAAAAAGTATGGGAAGTTGTGGGAAGTGTGTGCGGGGGGGGGGAAAGACGAAACCATATAACACATGGGAAAATAGGGGTGTTCCTAGGCTTTGTGTGTTGTTTTTTTTTGTTTTGTGTGTGTATGTGTGTCTGGGCCCCTTTAGTTACGAGGGTGTTTTTGTTGGTTCCTGCCCTCTGCGAATGCGCCGTCTCTCGCCGCGTCGGCGTGCCGCGGCCTCGCCGCCTCTTCGCTGATAGTCGGCTCGCCTGCAGCTGGCGGCGAGCGAGGGGGGGAAGCGAGAAGGAGAAGGCCTGCTCAGAAGGCTCTCGGAAGTCCCCTGGCCCTCCTGACAAGTTTTCGAAGCCTAGCCTTCCCCGAAGACCAAGCAAAAACCTTCCCAGCAGGCGCGAGGGCTTCTGAGAAGTCCCGCCGCCTTCTGAGAAGGCCTTCTCCTTCTCACTTCCTCCCCTCGCTCCCCGCCGATCGAGGAAGATCGAGGACCCAGGATCGAGGAGGAGCGAGGAGGCACGAGAAGGAGGAGGAGGAGAAGGATGAGGAAGTGGAAGGAGGAGAAGATGGCCTTCTCCTTCTCATTCCCCCCCTCGCTCGCCGCCAAGATGGGGCTGCCCTGCCCGCGCAGCGCCAGGCGTAGCTGCTGTCCGGCGGCGGGCTCGGCGCCGGCGCCCTCTGTATTGGCTCCATGCGGGAATGTGAGCTGGCGCTCCACGACGCTCCCTTCCCAGACCCACTCGC